AATATGAACGTTTTAACATAATAACTAAGAAAATGACATGAAGGCTATGTTAACCAGTTTGATGGAAGTGTTTCGGATTGTGTGTGAAAACACCACACTGTACCCCAGAATTGCATTAATGTACATAGTTACCATTCAATAAAAATAATAATAATAAAAAGAAAAGAAAAATAGTTTATTTTGGTTTTTTTTGAGACAGAGTCTCTGTATCCTGGGTAGAGTACTGTGGTGTCATAGCTCACAGCAACCTCAACCTCTCGAGGTTGAGCGATCCTCTTGTGTTGGCCTCCCAAATAGCTGAGACTACAGGTGCCCACCACAACAACTGGCTATTTTTTAGAGATGGGGTCTCGCTGTTGCTCAGGCTGGTCTCCAATGCCTAAGCTGAAGCAGTCTACCCACCTACGCCTTCCAGAGTGCTAGGATTGCAGGCCTGAGCCACCACGCCTGGTCTGAAAAATAAATTTTTAAAAAGAGTAGGAAAACCATAGGTAAGAAACAAAGAAAAGTTCGAGTTCTATTGTTCTTCCTTCAGTTACCGTCTATGTACACGCATTGTAACAGGTGCTGACTAGCTTTTAGCGCCGGAACACAGGCAGCAAAGCACCTCCGCTGGCCCTGTGAGGCTATGTGAGCCCCTGGGTTTCCTCCACAGCACTCATCTGGCAACAAACATCCCCTCATCTTCACTCCCAGACCATCAGCTGCCCTGAGACCCACAGTCAGGACCCACATTAGGCTGTCCCTTCTTGTTCTGAGAGCACCAAAAAACAGATCAAGCAAAGCAAATGGGAGGGAAGTGGGGCTTGTCAGTGAACCAGGGCCCCACCCTGACATGTGTACACATACTGTTTAATCACCAGCCCCTCTCACTAGCTTGGCTGTTTGCTGAGCTGTTTTTGCTGAGCCCCAGTCTGAGGTAGTCGCATTGTTTTGCTCGGACTCTACAAATTTGACACAGTATGTTTATCTAATTTCTGCAAATGTCTTCCCAGCCCCCACTGCTGGATATATGTTCTGGGCATACATGTAATAAAACATCTAGGGCAGGAGACTGTGGCTCTTTGCAGATAAATGTGGCTCTCTACAAATGGGTGCTTTCTGTGTGTCGGCTTTGTCCTACAGTCACATCGAGAAAAGATGTGGTAGTCGCTCTCATACTGCTCAGATGGGATACCCAAAAGCACACTACCCAAAACATCTGGCAACATAGTGTTTTCAATTTTTAGAAAAATTAATCATGCAAACAAGAAACACACGTAAGTGCCCAGCCAGCAGCGTCCTGGTTCTTTCCTTTTGTTAAAGTTAGCACCATGAATTTGCACCGTCCCCCTTCTCAGACCAGGAGGGAAGAACAGAGGTGTCAGAGAGGGGCACGCTCTCTGAACCAGTTGAAGAGGTGAGGGGACCACAGCAGGCTACAGACCTAAGTCATCCTGCTAACTTCATTTTTCTTTCTTCTTTCAGAAGCTTTTGAGATTGCTGTGCCACAAGGAAGCAGCATTACAGTTCTCATAAAGTTGGGGACCTTGACTCTGCCATCAAAACCCTGTTACATCATTATTTCTAGAAGACATGTAACCACATTGTCCATCAAATCTGGAGAAAGACCAGTTTTTACCTTTAGCTGCCAGAATCCTGAGAACCACTTTGTCATAGAGATCCAGAAGAACATTGGTAAGTCTGCATCATGAGCTGTTTAACAAATGTCTTTTAAATGTCTCGGCACTGCCTTCACACTCTTTTCCTTGCTGAGCCCATCTCAAATGCTAGAGAGGTAAGATCTCTTCTGAGAGAGAAGAGTTAATTTGTTTAATCTTCAAAACAGCCCTATGAGAAATTTGCACAGAGAGTTGTTTGCCAGAGATGGCACAGCTAGGAAGTAGCAGACCAGGGGAGGAACCCCAACAAGCACTCTGGCTCTAGAGCAGACCCACTGTATTAAAGGGCCGTGACATTAGGAAGGTTGAGAACCACTGTTCTAGAGCCTTTGCCCTTAACCACTGTGCCACACAGTCTCTTCACAGGGGCCCATGAGCTGCAGATCTTAGGGTCTGTGATGCTCTGTCTCATGCGCTAAAATCATCTGGCTGCTGTGGAGCAAAAGTCCAGGGAGTTGGAAGACAAAAGAATCAGAAAGTTGAGGAGATAAGGATAGGGCATTGGATCCACAAGGCACAAAGGAAAAAGCAGCAGCTTTGGAGAGTGACTGAGCTGGGTTTGTCTTCAAGCAGTAGGGCTACTGGTCATGTGACCTGATCACATGACTCCATGAGCGTTACTCAACTGCTTTGAGCCTTAGTCTTCTAGTCTGTAAAATAGGGGTTATCTTAGTTGCCATGAGGATGAAATAAAATAATGAATTGAAAATGTATGACACATGAGAATTGAAAACTATAGATATGTGATATTATTCATAATTTGAGCTTTGGAGAGGAAATTGACATAGGAAATATTAATAATCAGGCAGAAAAAAATACATTAATAATTTCCCAATCATTTTAAGGTGGTCATGCCAAAAAGGATGAATAGATGCATTGATATGGAGGGAATTCATAAATAAAAGGAGAAATCGGGGGTGGCCCTGTGGCTCAAAGGGGTAGGGCACTGGCCCCATATGCTGGAGGTGGTGGGTTCAAGCCCAGCCCCGGCCAAAAACTGCAAAAAAATAAAATAAATAAATAAATAAATAAAAATAGACTGCGAAGTGAAGGGGATCCCTGAAGTTGTGAGATGTGGAAAACCATTCTGTGCTAAACCATGGAGGTCATGTGGAATGCTAGGGAAAAAATAAATAAATAAATAAATAAATAAAAGGAGAAATCAAAGTATTTAAAGTAGTTTTAAAAACGATATTTGATAACTAAAGCCAAACCTAGTTTTATTTTGTTTGGGGAGTTTTTTTTTTTGAGACGGAGTCTCACTATGTCACCCTCAGTAGAGTGCTGTGGCGTCACAGCTCACAGCATCCTCCAACTCCTGGGCTTAGGCAATTCTCTTGCCTTAGCCTCCCGAATAGCTGGGACTACAGTCTATTGTTCTTCCTTCAGTTACCGTCTATGTACACGCATTGTAACAGGTGCTGACCAGCTTTTAGCGCCGGAACACAGGCAGCAAAGCACCTCCGCTGGCCCTGTGAGGCTATGTGAGCCCCTGGGTTTCC